ANATATTATATATAATAATAATAATATATATANAATAAAATAAAATTAAATTAATATATAATAATAAATAAAAATAAAAATAAAAATAAAATAATTAAAATTAAAATAAAAATAAAATAAAATAAATATATATATATATATATATATATATATATATATATATATATATATATATATCTTATATTTACCTGTTCATTTTATATTTAATAATTTTAAATTAAAATATTAAAAGTATTAACTTTCAACAAAGTCATCTATAAATAGTCTATTTGACGATATATTTATTATAATTTATGTTAATTTTATTTATATTTTTATATTTTTTCTATTTTCCATATAAAAATTATATAACAAATCTAAAAAATATTTATTATATTGTAAATAATCTTTAGAGACTTCATTTATTAGTTAAAAAAATGCTTTTTTTAATTCATAATTTTAATCTTTTTATTTAAAGTAATTAATTAAAATATCTATTAAATTTTCTTCTTAAAAGTTCTGTTAATATAAATTATTTATCACTTTATTAGAATAAAATTTTATTGTTTTTTTAACGTTTTTATTAATTATACTATAAAGTATTAGTTTTAATTATAATTTTATTAGGAAGTTTAAAATTAGATTATTATGAACATAATTTATACTATTTTTTATATCTATTTTTTTTTTATAAATATTATTTTTTTTTACATTAGTTTATTTACATTTTCATCATCAATAATATCATTTAACTAATTTATTACAATAAACAGAATCCATGCAATATTTTCTTAAGTTTCTTAATTAATTTCATGATTTTATTCCAATATTTAAATAAAAATATCTAAAATATCTTTCTATAATAATTATTATGTTATTTATATATTTTCAATAATTAAATTTCCTATACATAAACAAGTCTTATTTATTTATAAATAATTATTTTAAATTTTTATATTATTAATTACTTGATTAATTATATCTTAATTTTAATTGAATAATTAATTTATCAAAGAAATAAGTATTTCGTTATCAAAATATTTATTTAAAACAGAAGCATTTAAATAAAAAATAATTTAAAATAATTATAATACTTATAGATTTAGCAATTCGAATTTTTCCTCATTTAATATTTTTACAAAAATTGATTAATATTCATATTTAAAAATATTAAGTATATTATATTCATAATTCTCTACTTCTATAAATATTTTACAAAAGTATATATAAATTTTATTCAAATATTTTTTAATTCTTAAATATTTTCTTTTTTGTAATTATCTTAAAGTAAAATTTTAAATTATTCAAAATCTATTGGAATATATTCCTTTTTTTTATTAAAAAAATAATATAAATAAATATATTTTTTTGTAGATATACGTTATTGCTTATATTTTATATATTAGTAGTAAATCTTTTTTTATTAAATTAAGTATTATTTTTTTATTTCCTTAATTTAACCCTAAATTTTTATTTTTGGACATTTTTTAAACTATTGAATTATTCATTTAATGCTTTGTCTATCATATTTTTTTATTTTTGATAAAAAAGCTTTTACTAAAAATATATAAAAAAATTATATAATTAATTTTTTAAAAATATAAAAATACTAAAATGCCAAAAATCAATTTAAATTTTAATATTTTTAATAAAGATAATTAAATTATAAAATTTCTTTTATAAAATATATGAATCTATTATAGAAAAATGTATACATATATTAAATATCTTTTATTTTTTAATTTTACCTAATAAACAATATTTATATATATGATATTTTATAATTAATATTTTTTTTAAAAAAAATATAAAATAGTTTCTAATAAATGTAAAATAAATAATATGTATAAATATGTAACACTATTTTTAACTTTAAAAAATAAAAAATATAGAAAAATCTTTAGTTCGATAAAAAAATTTATTATTTTATCAAATTTTTAATCACAAATTAAAATATTATTTATATAAAAAATAAAAAAATTCTTTAATAATTTTTTATATTGTAAACCAATAGATCCTATCAGAAATTTTAAAAAAAAATCAAATCTAAAAATATTCAAAAAATATATTAAGAAAAATATGTCAAATTTCATAATTTTATAAAAATATATTTATTAATTCATATATATTTACAAAATAAGAAAAGAAAAAAAAAAAAATTATAAAACTAATTATTATTAAAACATATATATAAAAATGCTGGAAAAAGTAGAAATAAATTGTATATATATATTACAATTATAAATTATGTTAATTATTTATTTTATATTTAGTAAATAATAATAATATAGATTAACTATAAAAGTTAAAAAAATACACAATTAATTAAAATATTTTAATATATATATAAATTATATAAACAAAAATTAATTTAGCATTTATAAAATAAAAATATATAAAATAAATAAAAAAATATGAATGATTCAGAAGAATAAAAAAATCAAGATTTCTAAGATTATTATTTAAGACAAAAATACATAAAAAAACTTGGTATAGTATAGATAAACGAAATTGTTTTTTATCCTTAATAAAATAATGAACAAAAAAAAGAGGCATAATTAATGTAATAGTAAATTGAGATTAATCTTTAACTTGAAAACACTTATGAATAAAACGGTTATTAAATGAAATTTCATTCAAGATCAGATGATGATGTAAGAAACAAATATATTAAAAAACTATAAAATTAAAAAATTCTCAAATAAAACTAAACTCAAAAACATTAATCTCGTAAAAACATATAAAATTGTTTAAAATTATATGATAAAATATATATAAAAAAAAGTTATTATATTTGATTGGGATGATACTATTTTATGTACTAAATACTTATAATATTATGATTTTGTGGATATTCCTATAGAAATTTTACGCTAATTAAGTTTTTTAGATAATTCAGCAGTATTTAAATTTTTAAAAATAATAATAATATAAAAAAAAAAAAGAGTAAACTATTAAAAAAAGCGACCACTTATGGAAATACATATATAATAACAAATGCGATAAAAGGATGGGTGTAATATAGTTCATAATTGTATTTTTATTTTATTTTATTTAAAAAAATAAAAAAAATATAATATAATAACATTTTATTTAAAAAATTAGATTTCTTCCTAAAGTATTTAATGTAATCAATGAAAATTAAATAACTGTAATTTCAGCAAGAACCGAATTCGAAGATGTTTTTCCAGGAGATTGTTTAAAATGGAAAGTGGAAACTTTTAAAAACTTAAAAAAGTTTTATGATGAAGATGTAAAAAATAAAATAATAATAATATAATAATTTATGATTATAATAAATTTTATTTTATTTATTTTTTATAAAAAAAGCTTATTACTAACCTTATATGCTTAGGAGATAGTAATATTGAAATAGATGCACTACATATATTAGCTAAAGGTTTCAATTAATCACTAATTAAAACTATAAAATTCAAAGAAAATCCAAATCCTGAAGAGTTAGCTAGATAATAAGAATTAGTTAATGATAAATTTGATTAAATATATTTAACAATAAAAAATTTAACAATAAGACTTGAAAAGTAATAATATTTAATAATTTGTTTTATCTTTTTATATTTTTTTTTTTTAAATAAATAAAAAATAGGAAAAATAATATAAATTGAGGAAATGTAAGTATATATTTTTTGTTAAATATATAAAATAATATATAATATTACGTATTTTATCTATATATATATATTAATTTATGTTTGTTTTTATTTTTTAATATTTTTTCTTATATATAAAATGATAAAAAAAAAATGAATTAATACAATTTTAATGAATAATAATATGTTTCCAAATTTAGGTATTTAAATATTTATTCAGTACGTATTAAAACCTGTTTTAAATAATATAATTCCTTTTTTAAAAAAAATAATTTTACAAATTAAACTCTGAAAAAAATAATGTAAAAATTTTAATGTTATTGAAAAATATAAATTTTTGACATATTATTTTTAAAAATTCTTACACAAATAATAGAAAGATTATAAAATTTTCGTTTTATATTCTCTTTTCTTTATAAAAAAGATAATTAATTATTTTGTATATTATGTTTATTATCTAAAATATTTTAAAAATTTAGAAAGAATACAAAAAAATTAAAGTATAAACATAATAAAATATATATATATATATATATATATATATTTATATATTTATATATTTATATATATTTGTTTTTTTTCTTAAAATAAAATAGTCTTTGTTTTTTTTATATATCAACAATTTTATTTTTATTAAAAATAAAATATCATATAAAAAAAATTTTATATTTATAGTAGTTTTATTATAAATATTATTTTTGTTATATATTTTAATTTTTAATTTTTTTTTTTTTAAGAATATTTTATTTTATTTTTGTATATAAATAAATATTTAAATTTTGGATTTTTTATGTTTTTTTTTATATATTATTTTATGTATTTATACATTTTTAAATAAAAATTTATTTAAAATCTATATAATTAATTATTTTTTTTTATTTAAAATTATAAATATTTTTAATAATAATATCTATATATTGTTTATTTAAAGATAATATTTTTAAATAAAAAATATATTTTTTAATATTTTAATTATTAAAATATTTTATAAGTAAAAAATATACTTCAAATTAATTATTATGTTAATAATTTATGAAGAATTTTATTTATTATTATATTTTTTCAGAATAAATTTATTAAATATTAATTATAAAAAATTACAATTTCTTTCTTTCTTTCTTTTGATAATAATATAAAATAAAAAATATATTTAAATTATTTTTATTAAGAATATATAAAAATTATAAATATCTTTTTATATTTAATTTTATTTTATTTTTTTCTTATTATTTTAACGATAAATATATGAAATAATATATCATTTAGTATATATTTATATTTATATAACTATTTAATATATAAATTATAAAATATATTAATAAAAATATAATTTAAAATAGCATTAATTAATGTAAATTCGTTTAAAGTTTTTGTTAAATTTTCTAAATTAAAAAAATTATTTTTACATTATATTTTAAAGATATTAATTTTATACAATAAATTAAATATAAATTATTAAAATTATTATTATATAAAAATATATTAATTGATATAAATTAAGAAAATAAATAAATTTTAATTGTAATAATATATTGAAATAAAAAAAATTATTAAGATTTTTATATATTTTAAAATATAAAATTTTTTCTATGTTAATAAAATGATATAATTTATTTTTAATATATAGAATTAAATTAATTGAATTTTTATTTTTAAAAATAAAATAATTATATTTCAAAAGAGAAACTATTTTAATTATTTTTTAAAAATAAATAATTGTAAATTTATATTTATTTTATTCTTAACCATATTCTATTAATGAAAAATATATTTTTTTGCTTAAAAAAAACATAAATTAAGTATAAAAATAAAATTGAGAGATTTTAATATAAAATTCATATTATAAAACATATAATATTATTTTTATTTATTTATTAAAATTTAATTATAATTCATTTATTTTTTATTAAATTTTTCTATTATTTTTTATTTTTTATTTTTTAATATTTTTAATTTATAAATATCTATAATATGATAACACATAAAATAGATAGTTTATTATTTTAATTATTTTAAATTTATATGAGAAAATAATATTTACTGAGATTTAATTTCAAATATTTTTTTTATTAATCTCTTATATATTTAGAAAAGCAATCATTTTAAAATGAATAATTATTAAAAGACTAAAATAAATATTCAAATGCATTTATTAATAAATAAATTTATTTTTTTAAAATAAAATTAAAAAATTTAGAATTAAAATATTATTATTTATTATATAATAAACAAAAAAAATAAAAAAACAAAAAACAAAAAAAAAGCAAACAAAAAAAAACAAAACAATAAAAGAATACAAATTTATATAAAAAAATAATTAATAATGGGAAACTTATGCGTATTTAAATAAGAAACTTAAAAATACAAATTAATAGTATAAAAACCAGTAAAGAAAACAAAATATTTAAAATCAATTTCTACATAAAGTTAATCAGTTGTATAATAAAAATATTTATTAAAACATTATTAAAAACACCGTTTAAATAAAAATTTTTTAGATAATAATCAAGAAATAACTTACGATTAATTTTTATCACAACTTAAATAAAGTAATTAATAATGTTAAATAAAGATACAAAAATAAAATTGAAAATAAAAAAATATATATAAATTAATATATATATGTAAATAATAAATAATTTTATTATTTATTTTTTATATCTATATTTTTTTTAATTATATATAATTAATATATAAAGAGTTTTTATATGTTTTTTTATTGAAAAAAAATAAAAAAGTTTATAAAAAATATATATTAAATATATAAAAAAATATATTTTTTATATTATATTTTATTTATATTAAAAATATATAAAATTAATCATCTCTAAGAAGGATTTTTTTTTGGTTGTTATCCAGCGTTACTGTTTTATTTATTTTATTCATTATTTCCATTATTATAAGTATTTCCTGAATAATTTCTATTCGGAATATAATTTGCATATTAAGCTGGAATTTAATTTTAGGCCAACTATTAATATTCCTAAAAGTAATATTAATCTCCAATAACAGACTACTATTAATAGTAATAATTGTCCATAATATTCTATCCAAACATATTTGGAGGATAATCAGTAATATATTATTATTATTAATTCATATAAGATTTTTCATCTTCAAGTTCATTAAGTCCAAAAATTTAATTATAACATTATGAAATAGAATTTTTTTCTTTTAATTTTAAAAAAACTTTCATCGTAAGTAAACTATCACTTCCAGCCTAATGCTAAGGTCCAATTCTATCAATCTATTAAAATATATTATATATATTAAATATATATATATATATATATATATATATATATATATATATATATATACATATTATATTTATATTTTTATATATAATTTTTCATTATTTTATTTTTACTTATAAATTTTTAGATAATCTTTCTAAACCTAAATATTTATATTTATATCCTTCTATTTCTTATATAACTAATTTGACATCAATTGTTTAAGGAAAATATAAATAAAACTATTCATAAAATTCTTTACATGTATTAGGTAATTTTGAATCAATTAACAATTTTAAAAAATAAGCAAAATCAAATCCTCCATGAAAAGTTATCCAAGTAATATCTTCATTACATAATAACCCACATCCGAAAAACATTTCTGCGAAATCTGCTAATTAAATACCTTATTTTTAATGCATATCGAATTTTATTCCACTTTCTTCTAAAAATTTTATTGCTTCTTTTGTATTATTATCTTTACTTTTTTTTATATATATTTTTTAATATTAATTTAACAAAATAAAAAAAGGAAAAAAAAATAAATAAATATAAAATTATAAACAAATATAAAATAAATGTACTTTTTATTGAATGCAAAGTTAAATTAAAATGTGCATTTTTAAGGAAATGTACCATCACTTTTGGCAAATGTTAATCCTAGTTAAATCATGTTTAAACTGTCTACGTTTTGCTTTATTTTTTGATATTCTGAGCTAGCCTTTATTTATATTTATATATATTTTTTTTTTTATTAATTTTTATTTATAGAGAGTTCTTTTAAATTTATTCTTTTTACTTATTGTTATATGACACCTGGAAATTCTGTATCCTTTAAAATAAATATAATTAGAAATTATTTTCATTAATTACTAGTGAGACATAGGTACATTCTTCAGCTAAATCTTGTATTATTTCGAATTCTTATTCTAAATTATCTTACCAAACTTCTCTTATAATTCCTTTATCTTTAAAATCATCACTTTTATATTTTTTGATTTTTTTTTAAATTATTTTAATATTTTATTATTTTACTTTGGTTGACTCATTTTTTTATTTTCTCTTATTATTATTATTTTTTTAATATTATATAATCTTTTTTTAAAAATTAATAAATTCACATAATTATAATTATTTAAAATTATATATATATAAATATAAAAATTTATATTTTTAATATTTTTTTTTTTTCTAAAATATAAAATATAGTTAAATCAAAAAAAAAAATTAAATTTTTAAATAATTAAATTGAAAAGAAAATTATGAAAATGATTTATATTTAATTTATTTTTAACTATAAAAATAAAAATTTAAGCTATTTTCAAATTTAAACATATTCGTTAATTATTTAATTATATATTAATAAATTTTTTTACTTTTAATTAAATTTAATAGAAGATTATATATATTTATTTCAAAATTATATATAATTTTAATAATATTATTATTATTTTATATTATAATTATTATTATATTATTATTATTATTATTATTATTATTATTATTATTATTATTATTATAATATATTATTAATATGTCTATAAATCTAATTTTTTTTACATTTTTATATAATATATTTTATAATTTAAAGAAAAAAATAAATAATTCAAATTAAAAAACTCATTTAAAATATATAAATAAAATTATATGGAAATAATTTATTAGAAAAATAATTAAAAATCAATAAAATTAAATAGAAATAAAAACTTAATACAAATTTAAAATTTATTTATAAATATAATATAAATAATCAAAAATTAACTTATAAAAAATCGTAAACTTCTTAATATAAAGAAATTCAATTAAACAAATTTAAAAAAAAAAAAATTAATGTTTACAAATAATAAAGTTATAAACTAATTTATATAAAAGAACAAATTATTAAAACAAGATTTAAAATATATCTAAAACTCTTTAATTTCTCGAGAAGATAATATATTTCACATTAGAATTTTTATTATGTAATTAAGTGAATAAAAACAAAAACAAAATAATTCTGAAATACGCTAAATAAACATTTCATTAGAAAAAATAGAAAAGTAAAGACAACAATACGAATAAAAAATCCTTGAAAAATAAAGCTTAGAAAATACATCTTAACTTAATAATAATATAAATTAATACATAAAATAATTATCATATAAATTATTTTCTAAAATCAACATATTGCTCAAAAAATATTTATCTAAAATTCAATTTTTTTTCCAAAATTTTACGAATATATACAATAAGAATAAATGCTAATATTCAATTAATACAAAGAATAATAATAAAAACTATTAAACTCTTCTAATTAAATTTCATTTAAAATTGTATTTGAATTAATGTTTAAAAATAGTCATGAACGCCTATAAAAAGAAATATAAAAATTAAATAATAATCAATTTTATTATAGTATTTTTTTAAATGAATAAATTATCAAAAACAATAAAAACGAAAAGCTTTTTACAGAAAAATATTTTCAAGGTTCTTTTTCATTTGAATATATAATAAATTTGTAAAAAGAACTTTTTTTAAATGAAAATGCATATAAATAAGAAATCGATAATTATGAAAAGGAGATATCTTTTTTAATTTAAGAATAAAAAAATAATATTCAATATAGGCAAATAAATGTATATTTGATTTAATGATGTCTGATTTTGATAAATATGTAAAAGAAAGTTTAGCTTAAAATAAATAAATATAAAATAATATAAAAAATTACTCGGAGAATTATTAAAAATATAAGAATAAAAAACAAAAAGTTAAATTTAAATCAATGAAAAACTTATGTTTTGAAGATAAAAGAAATAATGAAACTTCAGATAATTATAAAATACCAAAAATTAAATCTTTCTAACATTTAGAAGAAAAGGAAATTATTTTTAACAAAAATACTTCAACTAAAAATAAAAATAATCAGAGAAATATAGAGATAAGTAATTTTTCTGCCCCGAGAAAATCTTTAAAAGTTAGTAAGCTTAAATAAGATATTTAAGTCAAATCTATGTGCTTTATCTAAGAGAAAAATTATAATATTTTAAATTAGTCTATTTGTAATAAGAATTATGACATTTCTTTATTTGATATAGGATAATAAAGTAATAGATCTATATAAAATACGGATTTTTATTTAAAAAAAAATAAACTAGTAAGTATTTTTAATAATAATTTTGATAAAAAAATAAAAAAGGATAAATAGTTTATTATTTCTCATGTGAAAAAAGTAGTTGGATTTAAAGAAATTACTTTATGAAATTATAAAAGAACATTAAAAAATAAATAAATAAAAAAAATGTTTTAAATAATTTTAATTTATTAATAATATATTTAAAATGTTTCTTTATTTGTTATATAATAATATATATAATTATTAAAAATAAAAAAAAAATAAGATATATATTCATATTATACATATACAAAAATTTATATAAAAATATATTTATAAATATATATATATATATATATATAATATATTTACAT